GGGGTTTTGCGGGCCATAAGGGTTTGGATTTCCTTCCAGTCTTTGTCAAGTTTTTCTGTCAGTTCTAATGCACTTTCTCTTCGACTTTGTCTCTCTTGCTAGAAAAATAAAACAAAAACAAATGCAGCAATTATGTTCAGATGAACATCACATAGCATTTACAACATAAAACCACAATGCTGTCTTGAACAAATGAATAATTTCCAGTATTTACCATTTTGAAGCTGCAAATATTTTTTGGGGAACAAGCTATGCTGAAGGGGTTGCATAAAGAAYACAAGTTAGGTATTCTAACTTGTATTAGCAGAAGGGAGACTTGGGGATATGAAAGAATGGCTGATATACAAGTAATATCTAAAAAGCCTACAAAGTCAGACTTTATTCAAGGAGCTTGGACTTTTCTCTTAGACAGCTTCCTCCTTTGTTTTCGATGCTACTACTATTCTATTCTACAAATACAGGTATGGTGACAACTTCTTATCATGCTCACTTATACTTCAGGGCTAAAAACTCACCTTCTCTTGTTTAGATCTGGCTATCATCTCTTCTAGGAGTTCTTTCCTAGACTTTGGTTTGTCCTCTTCTYCATCTGGCTGCTCACTTGATACTTTTTTACGAAGGAGGCCTCCACCCCCTCCAAAGTGAGCAGCAGTTAATTCAGCTAGGAAAAAGAAGTAGAATGTGAGTCTTTCAAATCCACATGACTGTAGGAGTACTGCTCCTAGGACAGTATTTCCCTATTTTTTGCGAGCAGGAGCAATTTTAACTACTGAACCAATCATGCATTATTCCTATGCCTAAGAATGGCCAGATCAAAATAGATTATGTTATAAATAKAGTTTACACTGACAAATACTGATATAAGGTAGGAAAATATTTTTTCCAGTATTGATTCAACACATAGGTCCAAAAGTGCAAGAAAACAATTGGAAAGCTCAGACTTCAGATTCTGACCAAAGGGCTCAAAATCCAGGTATCTGTTTATGCTGAAAAGCTCAGAGTAAAGAAGCTTGCCAGTAGGTATGCCCAATTGAATCCCTGCTAAAATCCAGAGCTGGTCGCACATGACTGAGAAGTAATCAAATCTGTCTTAAACATTCCAACCTAGTACATGATATTCTTTTTCACTGACAGACACTACTGAACAAATGATGTACATGTTTCCCAGTAAAAACCAGTAGTGGGACACCAGCTGACACTTCTTACCTGACAGCGCTCCTCCTTCTTCTGTGTCACTGTCACTATCCACAATATCATTYAGTTTTTCGATTTCTGCCAAAGACTGGCCATAGTGAGTCAATTCCTCATCTTCATTAAGATTATAGATATTCTTCTTTCCATAATTTTGCTAAGAACAGTAAAACCAACCAATGAAATTGGCAGCAAATTAATACAGCCCTTATTGTTAGTGCTAGTTGAGGAGATTCTTATTCCATTGTTCTGCTGGAACTCAACACTGGAATAAGAGCACTGTCAGACCAACATTTTCATCCAAATACAATAGATAAGAGAGCAAGCATCGTGTCTCTTCTCTACTAATGTATAAATGGACTAACTCAGGAAACCTAGGGAAGCTCAAGTTTTATCTACGTATCAGTAATATCAATTTTTAATGATTGCATTTTGGACTTCAACGTATACAAATGACACTATTCAGTTCTGGAGACTAAGTATGATGAAGCAGAAAGGATAATACTGCACATTCAATTCCCCATACAGAATGACAGCAAGTTACAGAGCTCTACTCAGCTACTGAATATACCTGATGCTGACTGACTTTTCCTAATTTAACTCCTAAATCAAGGCAGTCAAAGTAAACCAAGTAACCAATGAACCTGCTTATAACTAGCTTCCTTGCATGACAGTGCTCAAAGARATCTCTGCTTCAAAAAGTTGTCTTGCAAAACCAGAAAGATTTAATGAAAATATTTTTATTTCCACTAAAAATTCCTTTTTCCTAAGTTCAAACACATAAAATCAAAAATAAAGCATTACCCTGTAAAACCCTGTGTTACRGAGATGCTTCCAACCTAAAAATTAAAATTTGTCTTGTGGTTTTGTGTTTGGCTTTGTTTTTATTTTAAATCATTTACCTGTCTTTCCAGAGCAAATCGTCTGATCATCTTTTCTTCTGGAGTTATGYTGGTGTTATATTCACCAAAACGTTTATCTTTAAACACATTTGTCTTTTCTCTTTCTTTATATTCTTTCAGTAATGTTTGATTGCGCTAGAACAAAAGAGACAAGAAGATAAAATTAAAAATCAGAAAGTAACTATTTTCAAAGTTAAGGCTCTATGGTATCTTGTCAACATAATAATCTTTACATTGCTATAAAATCATAAATAATAATTTACCAGAATGCAATGAGAAAGAAAAATTGACATGAAAAAAGATGGGAAGCTCACACAACACATTTGGATTCATTAAATTCTCTTATAAGCTCCCATGTGAAGACAAAATGTTAATAACATATTAAAGAAAGCAAACAAAGCTAACAAAAGTCAGTTGAACTGTTTTTTTTTGTCATTTCCTCTAAAATATAAGAGCCTCAAGTGGGTCCACACATTTAGCTTGTGTCACTGATGAACACAGGGGGGTCAAGCATCAAGTCAGGAAGTTTATTGCACCTMTGCAGTGTATTTACTATGTGCTCTACTTATGGGACAGGTAAGGAGGCAGATTTACCTTCCAATGTCAGTGATTTAATTTAATCAGACATAATCAGACAAGCGTCTGATTTATGTTATTATATACTATAAATCCTAAGATGTGATATGAAACATTCATGAAGCTTTCTAAAATCTTGACAAATAGTAACCAAGTCTGAAAGCTAGTTTATAATTTCATGCTTAAGCTATGATAWGGTTTCTAAAGAAAAAAATATATTAGCTGTGTTCAGGCTGAAAAAAAAATCCATTTTTATTTAAAACACATTAACTAATCCTTACAGAAAGACTCTGTACCATTCATATTACCAGGACTTCACAATGTGCTGAACTAAAGGACAAGGCTGAGTTCCCTAAACCAGACCTCTGCAGCCTCATTARGCATTCACAATTTTCAGATGCTGCTCTAAACGACACTAAAACTCAGGTTTCACCAACTGTTGGACCAGTTCTACCTTCTATTTACTTCTTGCAGTGAACATACAAATTACAATGCTGCTGAGACACTGTATATGAACATTAATATCTCTTAAAACCTTGGTTACCAAAAAGCGTTCATAGGCTTTTTTTCATATTATTTGTAGTCAATTATTTGACTACCTCTYTTATTGATAAAAAAGGAATTATTTATGCATCAGCTTTCACAATACATGTGAAATTATAAACTATCTGTTTGCTTTTGCTGCATTTGCCCTTTCAATAAGTGCTTTAAATTCTGGTCAACAACAGCATGTATATTACATGTCAGATTATGTCAGGGGCATACTTTCAAATAACACTTTTTTCAGCTTTAATTTAATCTACAGAGGTGGTTTGAGGTGACAGACCACCAAAAAGTCCAGCATTTCAGCCTAGAACAAGGTAGGTTGCTGGAATCCCATATACATAGTATGACACTCTCGTACGCATTACAGATTTTGATCAAATAGCAACTGATGGCAGAACAGAAAGAAAAAAAGAGGCATTTTGAAAACGGTACAAAGGTGGAAGACAGAARATTTACTCTTAAGTTGTATGGTCATTCTTTTGACAACAGAGGACAGATCATTACTTCCCAACACACTTCTATAACACTATTTAACCAGTGTGCAAAAAATCACCTGCATTTGTTTTCCAAATCAATGGTAGTTTCTTYACAGCTACACATTTCCCACTGCATYCCGACCTTAGTGCTCTTTCAATCTTACACTATTACAYCAACGTTACAACATAATCAAGAGGCCTAAAACCCTGTGATCACCAAAACCGACCGATGCAATGAACACTGTCTCTGGTCTAGTATTTACTTGCCGACAACACGTGCCATTGTATTCTGGACCGGGATAACCAGAAAAAAAACATTCCCACACAAGCCATAAGGCACACCTGTACTACTGAATCCTGTGGGTTGCACTGGCGGGAGCAATTCCCCGAACTCTCCATCACCACCTGAGCACCGAGAGGTGATCGCAACTCCTCCTCTGCGCAACAGAGAYGTCCCTTATTTCACCTGAGAGGGTTCCAGCTTTATCATCTCCCCACGTCCACAGATACCATGCTCCCTCCCCGCCTAGGATGTCCTCTTACCTTCTTGATGGCCTTGGACCGTGAGACACCAGGCAGCCCCACATCATTTTTGGTCTTCCTCCCCAGGATGTCAAACTTCTGTCTGTTGACTTTCACCTCAAAGGGGTTGCTCTTGACCGCGGCCATCGCCGACTTCACGGGGCCCTTTGCTGTGGAGGGCACTGACACCTTTTTCTTCCGCTTCGCCGCCTTCCCCATCTCTGTTCCGGCTGCWCTGAGGGGATGCGGTGAGGAGGCAGCGGCTCAGCCCTCGCCGTGCAGGGCCAAGACTGGGGGTGTGAACGGGGCCAGCAAAATGGCGCTCGGGGGGGGGCACAAAACCCCCCGAACTGCCCCTTGGACTGACCCCTGCACTCGAACAGCTCCGTGAGGGTCGGAGGAGAGTGGAACGAAGAAGACAGCGAAGGAGAAGGGAAAGGAGGGAGCAGCGTGGCCCCAGCACTGCCCTCAACCCGCCTAGCCCAGCACTACCACATGCGCACCGGCAGCCCACCACTTCTCGCGAGAGCCTCGCCCAAGTACCGCGATATTTCCCGCTCTTCTGCCCGCCCGCTTTGGGACGAGGCCGGGTACGTTTGACGCACTACATATCCCAGCAGGCCTGCGCGACACCGTGCGCGTGTCCTCAGCACACACCGCGCTTAGGCTGCTGGGACTTGTAGTCAAGACAACGTGAGGGGGTGGTGGCGCAGGGGCGGYGCTGCCTGAGGCGGGCGGAGGAGTCATGGCCGGGGCGGGCGGGCGCTGCCGGCTCCCCGTCTCCGCCCTCGGGGAGGGGGAGCGCGGTGCCGGGGCGAGCAGCGGGTGATGGGGAAGAGGCGAGCGCAGTGCTGAGGTCCTCCGGGGCCGGATGAGCCGAGGCTTGGCGCCGCGGCGGTGGCGGGGCTGGAGGAGGGGGCGAAGGAGGTTGTAGGGGCGGCCCCCGCTCCGGCTGCCCTGAGGGGAAGGAGCCCCCGACCATGGAAATCGAGAACATCGTGGCCAACACGGTGCTGCTGAAAGCCCGGGAGGGTAAGAGCCGCGGGGCGAGGCGAAGAGGGAGGAGAGGCGAGAGAACGAGGCGGGGCGGTCTGAGGACGTATGTCGGGGTAGGAAAAGGGTCTGAGGTGAGGGGGAAAGGGGCCCACGAGGAGGGGGAGAGGAAGTGATGGAGGAGGAGAGACTGGGAGGGAGGAGAGGCTGCCGGCCAGGGGTCCGGGCGGGGCGGGGACCCCTCSGGGTGGCGGCAGGAGCCCTCCYGGGGCGGGCAATGAGTCCCGGGCAGTGCCCCGAGGCACCTGCCCTGCTCCTCCCGCTGAATCTGTTTGKAGTTACTGGCTTGTGGCTTTGCTTCTGAAAAAACACCCCTTCCTCCTTCTCCCTTGATTCTGATAGTGTTTTTACCGGATGTTTTACAAAGGTCGTTAATCTGTAGTTCTCAGTTTGTTTATGAATGCGAATGCATATGGATATAAAGGATAAWTTTTCTCTGGAAAAACCTTGCACTCCATCTTGCTGAAATTCCTGCCTGTGAAAAACGTAGCTGGTGAATGCGACCTGTACTTTGCAGTCGAATATTTTGTATTATCCTAATACAAAAGTGTGCTTTTTTTTTTTACATTAGATTAGCACTTCAAGTTTGACTCCCCAGARCACCTTGAGTTGAAGATTCCTCCCTTCAACTAACAAACATTTTGGGTAGATAATTAATTTTGGTATAGCACGTGGTTGCTGTTTAAAAAAACATCCTGAACTAAGATTGTCCTACTGCTTTTTCTTGTATATAACTGTCCATTAAATGGCCCTCTTGAAAGTCTCCCCAGATTACTAGTGTACTTAGTGCAGAGTATGTTTTTCAACTATGAAATGTRCATATTCTTTTTGGATTGGATCCTTCTTGTCTTAATTGTGTTGAGAAGTCCCATTAGTTAAGCTGGAGCTGTTTAAAGTGAGTAAGAACAGCAGAGTCTGCCTCTTTATGTTTTGCAAGTTCCTCCAACTTGAAATGGGTTTGGCACTTACGCCATATGTGTATCCAGTTAAATTTGCCTTAAGCAGCAAGAGAGGAAAATCAGCTTATTCACTTTGAAGTGGGGTTTTAAAACCAGAACCGTGATCACAATTTTGGGCCATTTTCCAACCTGAGCTGAAGAGACCACCTCAAACTAGAGGACATGTTTTGGCTGGTTTCACTGACRGTAACATGTCTGTGGTGGTGCTGCCTGAATTTGGAATTTGCATTGAAGTAATCTGAGAAATGAAGGGAAAGTGGAATCTGGCTCAAAACTTTACTGTGCCCAAACCCTCACCACAAAGAGTGGAGTGGTAATCTGCAGTGGCTTTTAAGTGGCTGCTTAATGTCAGGCTGCCTCTTTAGTTAAGGTTTCGCTATGTTTAAAATAAATTATAGTGGTAGAACTGACCAAACAAGATATTTTAATGAACTAAATGAAAGCTGGAGAGCAGCTGATGTGAAGATCAGCTCTACCTGATGTGAAACTTGTAAGTGTAATGGTAATAGTCTGTTACTCTCTGTGTACTCTCAATTGGCCTGGGTTCTGTTGTTCTAGCATGCACCAAAAAAAGTAAATTCTGGCTTTGAAACTCTAGAAYTCCATTGACCAATTGGTAGAAGGTCTTTTACTTTTCAGGTCTCAATGCCTGGGCATGGGGTACTTATGTCACATTTTTCAAAACACTCCTTGAATTAAAAGTCTTTTTTTGTCTATTGCATGTTCTGGCTGGTTTGGGAATGTCTGGTTTACTCCACCTGTCAAGACCATTCCATAAAATCCCTGTCCCAGCTCCATTCTTATGTGCCCTGTAGACTGCAAGGCAATGGAATTTGCAGTTAGCATGTTAAATAGATGTTTTGCTGGAATATATTCTTTGCTAAAGGGGCCTCCCAATTGGGACAGAAGAGCAGAACTTTCAAATCACTTTCCTTCCCACATTTCTATTCTCTCACCATTTCTATTCTATTCTCATATGGTGTATGGAGAGGTGGGACAACATGGAAAAGTGCAGAATGTTTCTCATGGAAGAAAGTCAAATCTAATGCCAATATGAAATAGCAGCTTCATTTATTTTCATAGGTAGGCTTGAGCTACTTCAGTAATCCTTCTTCTCAGTGTGGGTAAGAGAAGGTGTTCACCTGGATAAATATATCAGTTGTAAAAGCAAGTAAAATAATATGTAAATTARTGTGATCTTATTTTTTGTTTGCAGTGCATGCCAAAAGAAATCAGTAAAGCTTCATTATGGCTTGCAGGGGTCAGTCTCAGTCTAACTTGAGACTCTTTTCTGATGAGGATGAGAGTAGCAAAAGGTTGTACTTTTGAATACATCTTACAAGTCTTATAACCCCAGAGATATGTAATTTCTATTTTACAAATATAGAAACTGAATAAAAGATATTGTGTACCTGTCCACTTCTGGTAAAAGAGTATGGTAGATGTCAGGAATTGCCAATAAATAATACCAAATCTTACCTGAGCACATAAGCCAGACTTAACAATCAAAATCACGATCCCAGATTTGTACTCATAATTTTTTTCTAGTTTTAGGTACTCTAATACTTCTGGATGTGAATGTTGTTAGAATGTGAACACCATTTGTGTTTTACATTTGAAGGTGTGCAGAATCAGTGCCCCTTAAACAGTCAGGTTCATGTCTACCTTTTACATCTGATTTGATATGTAAAAACTAAATTTCATCTATGTTTTCAGAGAATGAGGAACTCGGGTAAAATTAATCTTTTCCTGCTACTTGCTTCTCCTATACAATAAAAATAAAGTACATTTGCTGTCTTTTTCTAGACTATCTACCTTCTACCTTCTCACTAACAGTCTTACTGTTGATTTATTTCATTAGAGGTGTGATTCTTTTAATTCATTTTTTACAAGGATAACATCTGTTTATAGGAGTTTACTAGTTCCATTTTTCAGGTCATACAAAGCCCCAGTTTCCCCCAGCCTCAAAACTTTAAATTTTGTCTGTGAGAGGATGTTCATAGCTTTTAATAAAACATCATTTTAGTAGAAGCCTGTCTCTTTTCATTGAAGACTTGTAATGTCTCTGTAGCAATTGCAACACTTCTATCTTGTGAAGAAGGGAAGCTATCAGGATTCCTTATTTTCTTTTAAAGCAACTTGGTAAATAATCAAATGCCAATTCTTTGCATATGTGAGTGTTAGTGATAGCATAAAATATGATTATTGAATGCACCTACAACTACAAGATGATAGGATGACACAAAGTACCCTTTGGTACTTCATGGATGAAAGATTTAGGAGTCAGRAGCTATACTGCAAGTTTTTCTTTCCTTGTCCAGTTTTTCAGTTGACCTGCTTGTGCTGAAAGCTGACCTGTCCATGGAGGGATTTGCCTTCAGATAAAAACTGCAGTGCAACTGCAGTGCAAGGTGTTTCGGGATTCCCTGTCCCAGTTTCCTGGATTGAGTGGTCCTCTGTGTCAATCCAGCTTTTTCCTCTTGTACGTACATYACTTTTGATAGATACTTATATGTGGGAAAGAAAAAGCGAAAACTTCTTCTTGAGGTGTATGCAAAGCACAAGTGACTCAGTAGAAAAACAAGAGATTATAAAGCAAACTCAAAGTTGATCTTAGGAGTGCTGAAGTGCAGGAACTGAGATACAAAACCAGGTAAGTGTTAAGTGATAATGATGTATGAAATGAGATTGCAAATTTTTGCACCAGCTAATTCTGTGTTTTCCTTACTCGGATCTTTATATCTGAAAGAGTGGTGTACAGCAATATGTTTTCTAGTTGTGCACAAGAGCAGAGGAATGAACACATTCTTTTTTTCCCAGCAGAAATATCTTTGAAATTAGTATTTCTTGAAGGACATTGAAGAATTTGTCACATAAATGGTGAGAAATTATAAACAGGGTTATTCTGAAAGAAAAGGAAGTTCCCCCCAAATTTTTATGTTATATTCACTTTTCTCTTTATATTTATATCTTCTGTTTTTATTTCAGTCTCTTGTGGTAAATTCTTTGAGCCTATGTAAGCCCCAAATTCATTTCAGCWTCCCACACATAGTCTGTGATTTTTGGAAGGAGAGAAATTAACCCCTGTGTGTTTTAAACTGCTTAGGAGCCTTTCTTTTTTTCATTGCCTAAAGTAACTGTCTCAGAAAATACATCCAGAGGGTAGATACGTTGATCCTTTCATGTCAGTGGCAGTTTACTCCAGGTGAGGATCCATGCCAAGAGTACATTTTAAACATACCTGGTCCATTTGCATCCACTTGAAAATTCATTTGTGCTGCTATGGCAGGTGCAGTTTGGGATTGAGAATTGGGTCTGCTGTTAGGTGTAGAATATCCTCTGTGTCATGATTGATTTTGGCTAAATTAAGGTCATGCCTCAAGCAAAATTTCCCCCAGCTCTTGGCTGTATGGTTCTAGCCTGTGGTTGCAGAATGGGTGAGTTAGTTTCCAGCTGGATCCCTGAACCAATCCAGGGTGGGTTTTTGGGGTGGTTTCTTTCTTATGTTGCTGGGTGTTTTGCGTTTGGGGTTTTCTTCCCAAAATTAGTTTTCAGAGGGATCAGTAAGCTTCCGCAGATTTGATAATTGCTAGGTGCAGCCCAAAGATGGGTTTAGAAGTAAAGAACCTTGCAGTAGCAGAATGTGATCACAGTTTGGCTTAAGTGAATCCTGCAAGATACTTGTTCCAGAACTGAAATAGTCTTAATGAAGTACTCTTCACAAAAATAAGCAGTCCACTCAAATAGTGAGTTTTATCTGTCTAGGCTTAAAAGCATTTGGAATAATTCTGCAAGCAAAATAAATCTTTCTTTTGCTTCCAGTGTAAGTTAATAATTCAATGTCATGTTGATGATACAAGGAAGGTATCCAATTATGTGTTTGTACCTAGAAAGATAATTCTGTGGAGATTGCTCAGATCAATGTAGTTTGGCTATTGAACTGAACTAAATTCTTTAATTATTTCAGGAGTATGGACAAGGGGAAAGCAAGGCACATGCACACCCAGAAAGTCCACCACC